CTTAGCATTAAACGGTACCAGTTTACTGGCCGTGACATGCCCCTGCAAAAATCAAGCGGGGTGGCCATTTTGGTGTCCTTACAGGAATGTGGTGTTTTTGGCCTATAACCGTACACAGGGAAACCAACTCTGGAAAGCCACAGGTCAAAATTTGGTTTGTGTTCCACTTCGTCGAACACAAAAACTGTTCAAATGTTCTTTGAAGACTGTGTGGCACCAAGTTAAAGTGCAATTTAATTAAATCAGACTTTGAACGTGTCAGAGAGGGTTTTTTTTCTCTTTCTTTCTATTTTCAGTGAAGTAGTGTTGTTGCGTTGTGTTGTGTAAAAAGGGCAAGCTTATGACTTATAAAATGCGAAAGGTTAACTTGAGTATTTTTGGGCAAAAATTCTTCTTGGGGGTTGGAAGGGCTATGTGATTGGTGAGCGAGGGAGTTATGCATGTGCATGTGTCACACTAATCACAGTGTGGGTTGTATCAAAGAACAAATCAAATTGTCTGTTAGAAAATAAGATGGTATCTACATTAATCTGGAGACGCGTCAGATTACTGTAGTTTGTTCAGTCAAACATTTTAAGGCTTACTATTTAGTTATCTTACCCTTACCAATGTAACATTGTATGTACATCAGAAATTCTCAATATCTCAGTATCTCCAAGACTTTTAGTTTTTAGTTGTTTCTGAGAAAATCTAGTCCCAAATCAAGGTGGCTATGAGCCACTCAACTTGGAAAATAGATCATCTATAAACAGTGACACTTTTGAGGCCACTTGAGGTTTTAATTCAAATGTCAAGTTTAAGTTAAAGCCCATTGGTATTGTTAAGAAATAGTGCAAAACGCAATGGTAAGGGAATACGTGTGGAGATGTAACACTGTTGAAAACATTCATGAAGTCGTCGGTCCAAGAGAACAAGACAATTATAAAAAAAGTACCGCTTCTTGTCCAATCACCAAAGCAAGTAATGATTCTCATTTTCATTCCTATAATTTTTTTTTGCGTTCTTAATTTTTCCAGCCAGTATTAGTCATGTTTTTTTGTCTCTTTGTTACCTTTTCTCATCTTAGAAATTAAAAAAAAGTGCATTCAGCGTAGAGTCACTATTAAACCACAAGGACAGTACCACGTCTTGTCCGCTCAACAAAGTTAAGCTCTGTTTAGCGGGGTTAGTACTTGGATGGGTGACCAAATATGAATACCCTGTGTTGTTATAACTTCTTTTTCTTTTCTTCTTTCTTTTTTTTTCCTTCCCTTTTCAAGGCGATATTAAAGACTGTAGAACTGCCAGCCTTGTGTAATGTCGTTTCTTCTACATGTATTCATCAACTATTTCTTCCTCATTTCGCCATGTCTGTATCTACTGTATTTATTTACAATATCATATAAATAAACAGTGGAATATGTCGTTCGAATTCTCCTCAATTCTTTTGACTGTTGATCGTCTAAAACATTTAATCACGGCTTGAATCATTTGAAAATACATAAAGCTCATCAATTTTGTGACTTTCTATGTCCTCTTTGTCGGCAATCAAGTGGGAAATGAGCAATTTATATAATTACAGGTAGCTTTTATTTATAAAAACATTTGTGCAAAAATTTATTCAATGTAGGCATTTCTGCGATAAGATAATTGATTGCTTGCGTTGGAAATTCAAAAAATACCTAACTTGACACAGTGCAAGCGACCGTAAAACGGCCTTAAATGGCAGATGCTCAAAACCCTGGGGGGAGGGGGGGAACTCCTGTATGAAAAGGTCAGGGATGCTCGTCATCTTGGGTACAAATCAAGGATTCTGGTCTCACTCCGGGTGTTGAAGATGAAACATCACCATTTTTAGCTGTCAAAGTAACCTTTAGGGTGCACTCGAAGAGACAATAATTAAAAGAAAGCTCTCGTTTAATTTCTGTTTTGAGGCTTGATTTCCGCTGATCTCTCGAGTACACAAGTCGGATCTAAAAGTACACCAGGGATCCTTTCTTGAACAGTGGCTGGTAATCGAACCAGAAGCTTATCACCTTGACTAGGTGATATGCTTCTGATCGAACCTATTCCGTTTAAAGTGGTAGCTTTTTGGGGTCTAATGAAGCTCAAGCAACTCTCATATTAGTCTCCTTTAGGGGTTAAATTCAAATTTTGCAACGAGCATCCCTGACCTTTTCATATGGGAGTTCCCCCTGGGGTTTCAAATGTCTGACAGGAAGAGAAGGAGTGAAGGAGTGATGGAGTGAAATCGCTTCACCACTACAACTTGGAAAATAATATTTTCCAAGTTTAAATATGAGCACACCAGAGCCATATTCCCTATGTTTGACGACTATTTTGGGACTCATACATTGAAAAGGTCCTTGATTATTTCTGTTCAAATCTATGATAGAATGATTGTATAAAGATGAAATTGTGGCTTAGGCATAGTTACAAGAATGTAAGAAGTAAATTTAAAACCTTAAATTTCAATTCAAAATGACGAAATTAAGTGTCAAGCAAGTCAGTTGCATGCATGGTAGGTCCAACATTACTTTGGAGAAGGTTGCACTCGATAAGGGTTTACCTTTAAAAAAACTGTGAAGCTTTTCTTTAGAATAATTATAGTTAGTAATGATCATAATTAATTATCCCTAACAATAATAAAAACTAGTTAATAAAGTAACCTAATACAGACCAATAAATTGGGGACACTATAATTAAAAAGTGATTAAAAATGGGCTTAAGTAAATTGAAGAATACAACAACAAAACACTGCAAACAGTAGCATTTGCATTAGAATGCATGTTCGAAAACAAATGTCCGAAATCTTGGTGCAAATTATTTGCTTTGTTGCTATGTGTCCACTCTTTTGTTTTCATTTCATTTTATATCACTCTTGTTACAGATCCTTAAGTCAAGGATTAGCTTGATAGCCCTGTTTGTGTTTATAAATTAAAGTCAGAATTGTGCACTATTTACATTTTCAGCTGAAATGGGGAAAGTAGGAAGGAGAAGAAAATACTCTCATTTTACAGTCGAACCCAAAGCTCACCAGTTTTACCATCATGTCACCTACCCATTGAATACCAGTTTCCGCCTTGTCACCTTCCTCCTCCTGTTCTACACCAGATTTCCCTTTACAATGATACTCAAGTGTTCTCAGTTTTGTCAGAAAGTGATGCTTTTAAAAACAGTTGGAATTTAATCAAGCACTCTTAACTTTTCCTCATGTTATGCACATTACCAGATTCAACAGTGTTCCAGAGAAGACCTTCATGATCATCAACTGATTAGTCTATTGTTCACTAAAGGCATTGTCACTCTTACACTGTTGTATATTGTAGGCCTGTACAATAGTGGTAATATAATTTATTTTATTGATAACTACATGTAACTGCTTGTATGTACTGTAACTTGTTCTCCACCTGTTTGGGTGTTTGGTCGGTGCATTCAAAACTATTTCATAGGACAAGAGTTTTTTCTTAAGTATACATATGTTTTTGTATATCTAAAAATCAGGTGTCGCTGATGCATTTTCTGAGAGCCTCAGCTGCTTAAAACAGACACCCAGATAAACTGACATTCTGGCATCTTTATTTTATAAATTTTTAAAAACACTTAAAGAAAGTGACATATGGTGTTTGACAATTATACAAATGTATTAATGGAGGATTACACAATAAAAAACTCCAATCTTAAATTTTTGGGCTTAAAGTGGGACGCAAGTGTTTCTTCAGGAAATATGAGAAGCAACAGTTGTGCTGTTAATTTGGTTTTTAGCATTCCCAAGTGCATTCTTACTGTAAAATGTTACACACCAAATAAACATTATATATGACATTGCACCTTGCCCTTTTTACCTACAAGAAAAAATTGATAGAAACTGTCTTCGCATCAATTAAATCCATAACAACAATGTGAATTAATACACTGCTTGGCTTAGCTCTGTAATGTTGTTTCCTCAAGGGTCCGCATAGAAACTTTTCACCTGTGTCCGCAATGATCTTTGTCTATAATGTTGAAGTTGTTTTGTAAGTATGACAGATTTCTTTCTGGTAAAGCAGTGCAACTGATCTGCAACAATCAGCTGAATACACTACAACAATTATGCAATGAACCATAAACCCCTGCAAAACCACTGAAGGCTGCCCCACAGGTCACGTACTCCCAAACGGGGAAACCGCTGGCTGCATAAGCTCATATTTAACTTCCCTAAATATTAGCTGGATGGGCACGCTAGCTGGCTGCATTAGCTTGAGTTTAACCTTGCCTAAATGATATTTAGCCACATTAAAACAATAAGTTAAAAACCTGGTAACTTGTCATGAATTTTTGTAGGAGAAGATTATAGATTATTTATCAATGTTAATAATGTTAACGGCACTGGAGATTTACTCATCGATGTTTAATTAATGGTGCTGGAGGAGATCAGAACTTTTCTCATGTTGTCCTTTCTGTGTAATAAAGCAAAACTTTGCGCCAAGCCACATTTTCCTACTTCCAATTTTCTTTCTTCCATGTTACTTTTCAGGTACGACCACTTCCTCACAGGAAAGTACAGCAGGTTTACGAAGAGTTTTTAAAGTAAGCTAAATTGCTGGCTTCCAATGTAAGCACTGACTAAAAAGGGCAGGCTGGCTTCAGTAAAGAAGAATTGTCGTCTTCTTAAAGTTCTGCCAAATCGCCTTCATCAAACTCCCCCCAAAAATCTTCAATATCCATAGTTTGGTCACTTAACTGTGCAGCCTAAACAAAGTTGCTGCAAAAGTGTCGCTTGCGACAGTGACGTCATGAATTTCTACCATGTTGGAACTGGTGACCCGAGCTAGTTTCCAATCCAGTCTCTCTACTATCCATGTTTACGGGCACGTGTATGGAAAATTAGAAAAATTAACTAAGCATCTTCTGGCCAACCTACATCCTTCACACTAGGTGAAGACAAACTTCTACTTAGTGTTTTAATGTTGCGATTCACAAATTGTGTAAAATTCAATTTTGGAAAAAGTCATTTGCCATAAAACACTAATTTCTGACCGCTTTGCCTACCTGTCAAGATGGCGTCGAAAACCGTGATAAGGCCTATTCCTCAATTGTAGTGTATTATGGGCATTAATAAGTCCTTACCGCCTTAAGGATCAGATCTCCACCGAAAGAGCTTGTAATCTTAGGTGACTTTCAAATTAAACTTTAACAATGAGTTCATTAAGCTTACATGTAACTAGTAAGCCTATAAAGTTTATTTACTTACTCTCTTCTTAATTCCTGCTCCTTTCCTGTAGGTTCAGGCTTTCCTCCTCCTTCACCCCCTTCCGTTTCGCCTTTTCCACCACCTTTACCCTTCTTTTTACCTTTCTTTTTGGCTGGCATCTCGAACTTTTCGTTTGCGTCGTTCCGCGTACACAGATCGTACACTGTACACACGGAGTCGTACACACGTTCGTCGTTATGGGTTTTGACGCCTGCGATTCCAGTGGACGTTTGTCAAGTCCCGATAGGTACGTCATATAGTTTGGTAGGGTCTGGGAGACAATTTTTCTCGCCCAGAAGTCTCCTGGGGCGTAGCAAAAATCTAAAAACTTTATGCAGTAGAATTCCGAAAATTACGGTCCCCCCTGAAATAACGGCTTCCCGAAAGTAATATTAATTTTTTACTTTCCTATTGAATCCCTAAAGTAACGGTCCTCCCGAAAGGACAACGTCGATTAAAAAATGTTTTTATATCTTACCTACGAATCTCGCGGTACCCTGAAGTCATTTACTTTGGTTATCACTGTCAAAGCTATGACGAAGCTGAATCTAGGACACATCGATAAATTCGAAATAAAAATTTAAAAAAATTACCGTCGTGGTTCACGTTCTCCAGACAACGCAGAACTTGGTCATTTCACGGCCTTGGTTTGTAGAGGACGGCAAAGAAATGTACTAAGAATTATAACACACGTGCACAGCCATTGTTCTGCAAATTAAACCTTTTCAGTTTAGCGACGTTGCTGTTGCCGTTGCCGTTGCCGTCGTCGCAGAGCGCAAGGGAGTTTAAGAAAACCACGACGGCAACGTCTTCCGAATTTAATGCTGTGTTCCATATTCAGTTTCGAGGTAATTTTGACAGTGAGAAACAAACTAAATGACTTTAGGGTATCGCGAGAATCGTAGGTAAAATATAAGTTCATTTTTTAGCCGACGTTGTCCTTGCCGTCGCCGCCGTGGTTTCTTAAACTCCCTATTAAAATCGCCACCAAGGATGATCTTTTCATTTGCATAATGGTTGATAACATTAATTATTTGACAAGTCCCTTAGGAACTGAATTTGCCGTGCTTGCTCGTTTAATTTGGCGCATAAACATTCAAAAAGTATACTTCGAAAATTGCTTCTACTAAAATAAACGTTTGTATGGATATCACAGTCGTTTCAGACAAAGCAGAAGGATAACACAGTAAAAGATTCCGTTTATGTGTATTACTAACCAACTACCCACATAAACAGTAGAGTGCGCGGTTATGGCTAAATCGGAGAATAGTAAAATATGAATTTCGACATACGATTTTCCCGATTCTTTGATTATCCAATGCACACTCTAAACGATTATACGATTCTTCCGATTGAGGTAAAACAAACCACATATTTACCTCGTTCTTTAAGCGTGTGCATGAGAAATGACACGGTAAAATCGGAGAATCGGTGAATCACTTTCATAAAAATCTTCAGGTAAAATCGTAAAATCGGAAGAATCGTAGAATCGGTATATCACTTTCATAAAAATGTTAAGGTAAAATCGTAGAATCGGAAGAATCGTAGAATTGGTGAATGATTATCGGGAAAATCTTAACGTAAAATTGTAAAATCGTAAAATATGAGAATAAATAATATAATCGACGAAACATTGTAAAAGCTTTAGCGGTAAAAATAAAGACCCCAATGTTGGCACTGCAGGAAGAGAGGTATGGTCGCAGTATATCGCAATGTAACTTATACTGGATAAAAGTGCGTTTTTTGTCACTGACTTGTATATTTTAGCAAGACGTTTCGGCTAACTCTTAAGCCTTCATCAGTTGAAAAACAGCTTGATGTTACGCGCGATTTAACAACTTTTTAAAAATTGAAACGTTGCACGTGCTGTAYGCGCGTGACTCGAGAGGATTTTAAGTGCGTGCTAAGCACTTGTAGACTTCAGGGATGACTATGTGATCATCCCCAGCGTTCGGGTCTTTTACAGACATCCAAGCTTCTAGAAAAAGTCGCTTATTGTCATGTGCCTCATGTCCAACGACTTCAACGTTTTCAAAATCTATGTGATGATGATATACGTGAACATGGCACGCAAGTTTGGAGTTATGATCGAACATCAAGACAGCGTTTTTGTGCTCGGAAACCCGCATCTTCGGTGATCTTTCGGTCTGGCCATGGTATACAAAATCGCACGGACTGCAATTGATTCTGTACACTACTCCAAATGATGGACGGTCGGTTTCATCCTGCTGTTTCGGTCGAGGAAAAAGACTGTTGATGATTTTCTGTGGCTTGTAGGAAACTTGTAAACTTTGTTGCTTTAGTGAGCGTCTCCAAGTCTTTCGGAGACACCCTTAACGTAACGAAGTACTAAAAAACCATTTGTGGTAGGCTTAGTTGGTTTTGTTGCCAGCGCTCTTGCGCATTCGTTGATAAAGCGAGAGGGGTAGTTGTTCTCTCGAAGCACCGCTTTTACTCGTCGCGTTTCCTCGCTCGGAAAAAGCGCTTTACTGGTAAACACGCTTCATTTCTTTGCCCGATTTATTTCCTCTTGCTCCGACTAACTGCCCCTAGGCCTCTGAGGAGGAGTGCGTCACAATCTGGACACTAAATGATAAGTACATGTAACAGAAATTTAGGCTAAATTCTTGCAGTCCAGAACTCAGATCTACACACCTTGGCATAAGTGATATTCACTGCTTTAAAGGATACAGCTCCTCCACTTCCCTCTTTAAATTAGATACTTTTTCTGTTAAAATCTCCAGTCTATAAAAAATAAAGCAAAACTAAGCAAGTAAATTAATATGGCATAATTACGATACTCAATCAAATATCAAGTTGATATTAATTTTTCAGCAAATTATAAAAAATCACTCACATACTTTGTTGTGATTATCTATTTCCATTTCATTTATTTCTCTCTGTCTCTAACATAAAGGAAGGAAGGAAGGAAGGCAAGAAGCGGTAGAGCACGAAAGAAATGTAGGGGAAACCACGAGACATAGTCGAGTGTTTTTCCCTACTTCTTGAGTGCTCTACCGCTTCATAAGTGCTTTACAACAGAACAGAGCACAGTCAAAGCTTCTTTATTTGGTAAGTTGAGTAGGCTTGCCACTTCCATCTCATAACATAAAATGTAGGGGTAGCCACGCATTTTTTAAAGTTATTCATCTCTTTGTTTTATGATAAAGAATTCAATAATTTCCCCATGCATTCGGCTGAATTTTCAAGCCAAACTGTTTTCCAAACGAGTAAAAGTGGCATCAGCCGTGTTCTGTTCCCTGATTAAGCATGCTAAAATAAGCCAATCACAATCCTTGTTAGAATTGTTCAAATAATTTGATTGGCTAACGAAGCCACAGCTGTCAATCACAAACTGGACGTCAGCTAAGCTTCCAGTTTCAAGTAGTTGCGATCGGCTTTCGAGAGAAGAACGATATTCAAAGTTTGCTTTTTAGTTAATTTTTAAATAACGATCTAAAGACAGGTTATAAGGTTTGTAGTCCAGAGGAATCCGGCTGTATTGTGGCTCATGAAAACGT